CAGGAGAGATGATCCTTACACAATTAGGAAGATATGCCTTTGTATTAATGCAACTTGCCTTCAACTTAAGTACTTCCCTCCCTCCTTTCCTTCTTTCCTACGTTAAACAAAATCTTTTTAAATTTTTGTTTGTTTGCTTGTTTCATGAACATCTCTTTTCTTGCCCAAGCTCTCTCCTCTACAAGGAATAAGAACATGGAGTCTTCAGCCTCGGCCCACTCAATTCCATGACAGTCTTAACCAGAGTAGAAGCAGACCTCAACATTTCATCACTGATCTGGTCTTAACCTACTGAGGTAATGGGCTTAGCTTCAATGCACTAAGACCAGATCAGCTGATGAAACATTGCAGTACTTTCAGTATTTGCTGTGCCTGAGGAGAGTCCTGGGCATGAAGACTACTCCCATCAAGCTATCTATAACTTTCCAATCACCTGCCATTTTAACCTAGGCTATTGATCAACTGTCCCATGGAGAAAGGTCTTCTCTCACTGCCTCCTTCTAAAGTAATCACTTAGTCATTTCTTACTTACCATTTTTATTTTCTCTTAATTTGTTTTTAAGCTAAAAAAAAAACAGCTTTATTGAAAAATAACTGACATACAATATTGTACCATTAGTAGGCACATATTTAAAGTATAAAATTTAGTAAGTTTTTAAATATGTATACATCTGCACAAGCAACACAACAATCAGGATAATGAATACATCCACATATAGTATGCAAAATAGATCACTCTCAAAGTCTCCTTACTCCCTTTTGTAAACTCTCCCTCCTGTCCCTTCCCCATCTTCCTATCTTCAGACAACCACTAGTCTGCTTTGCATTACTCTAGATTAGTTAGCGTTTTCTGAATTATATATAAATTGAATCAAACAATATGTACTTTTTAAAAAATTTTCTACTTTCCTTCAACATAAAAGAGTTTATCCCTTTTTATTGCTGAGTATTTTATTGCTGGATATTCATGTGTGTATCAAGAGTTTATTCCTTTTTATTGCTGGGTATTCTATTATATAGATTGTTTATCTATTCACCTATGGATGGACATTTGAGTTATTTCTAGTTTTTTTCTGTAGGGTTTTAGAAATAAAGCTGGTAAGAACATTGATTGATTGACACAGGGTCTTGCTCTGTCACTCAGGGAGAAGTGCAGTGGTGCAATCATGGCTCATTGCAGCCTTGATCTTCCAGGCTCAAACAATCCTCCTGCCACTGCCTCCTTAGTAGGTGGGACTACAGGGGCACACCACCATGCTGAGCTAATTTTTAATTTTTTAATTAAACTTTTGTAGAGGCAGGGTCACACTATGTTTCCCAGGCTGGTCTCAAGCTCCTGGCCTCAAGCAATCCCTCCCCACTCAGCATCCCAAAGTTCTGGGATTACAGGTGTGAGCCACTATGCCTGGCCACTATGAACATTTATGCATGAACAAAGTATATATTTGTATAAATGTATGCTTTCATTTTCTTTGGCATAAATTTCTAGGGAAAGAATGGCTGGGTCATAACGTAGAGAGACAAATGCTTAATATTTTAGGAAAGTATCAACTGTTTTCCAAAGTAACTAAACTATTTTATATTTACACTAACTACTTAGGAGAGTTGTGGTTATCCCACATCCTCATAAATACTGGGTATGGTCAATCTTTTAAGGATTAGACATTCTAACAAGCATGTCATGATGCTGCATTGGAGGTTTATTTGGCATTCTCCTAATGAATAATAGTGTTGAGGCTCTTTTCATATGCCAGTTGTATAACTGCCTTGTTAAAGTACTGTTCAAATCATTTATCTCCCCATGTTTTCTTGAATTGTGTGTGTGTGTATGTGTGTATGTGTGTGTTTCAAATATATATGATTTGCAAATATTTGCAACTTATATGCGGCTTGTCTTTTTATTCTCTCTTCATTCACTTTTTGAGAAAATAGAAATTTTTAATTTTGATGAAGTCCAACTTGTCAATATTTATTTTTGTGGATCATGATTTTGGTGTCATATCTGAGAAAATTTTGCCTAATACAAGGTCACAAATAGTTTCGCCTACGTTTTCATCTAAAATACAGTTTTAGATTTTACAGTCAGGTCTATGATCATTTTTAGTTAATTATTATTAAGCTATTCTTGCACTCTTGGAATAAACCCCACTTGGTCATGATACATATTTGTATAAATTATTGTATTCCATTTGCTAAATTTTTGTTAATAATTTTTTACACTTACAGTTGTGAGAGATATTGGTCTATGATTTTCTTTTCCTATAATACCTTTCTGTAGTTTTTTTGTGATCAGGATAATGCTGACCCCCTAGAAACAGATGGAAAGCATTCCTTCTTATTTCTTTTCAAGATAAGATTGGGTAGAACTGGTATTTATTTTTTCTAAAATGTCTGCAGAATTTCCCAGTGCAGCTAGTGACCTTCACTGAATCTGACTAATTTGTGTATTTCATGTAGAGATGGGATTCTGCCACGTTGCCCAAGCTGGTCTCGAATTCCTGGGCTCAAGCTATCTGTCCACCTCGGTATCCCAAAGTGCTGGAATTAAAGGCATGATCCACCATGCCCAGCCTAGTAGTATTGTTATATTACCTATATAGTCACCATTGCCAGTGCTCTGTATTTCCATCCAGTATCATTTTCCTTCTGCCTGAAGGACTTCCTCTAACATTGCTTGTCATGAAGATCTGCTGGTGACAAGTTCTTCAGTTTATGAATGTCTTAAGTTCTTTATATTGTCTTAATTTGTGAAAGATATTTTTATTGGGAAAAGTTTTCTGTATTAACAGTTTCCTCCCCACCTCCTCTTTTAGTATTTTAAAGATGCTCTTCCACTGTCTTCTTACTTGCATTGTTGCCAACAAGAAATCTGCTGTCAGCCTTATTTTAGTTCCTCTTGTACATAACATGCCTTTTCTCTCTGCTTTTAAGATTTTCTCTTTATCACTAATTTTAAACAATTCTATTATAATGTGCCTTGGTTTTGTCTCTTTATGTTTCTTGTGTTTGGAACTTGTTGAGTTCCTTAAATCAGTGGGTTATAGTTCTCAATTTTGCATATAGAAATAGTTCAGACATGATTTCCTTCAATATTTTTCTGTTCTTTGCTTTAACCTGTCAGAGACTATAAATACTCAGAAATTAGTCCATATGAAATTTTCTCACATCTCACTGATGCTCTGTTCTTTTTCTTAAGTATTTGTTTTCTCTGTGGTTTTCCTTGTGAGCAGTTTTGTTATATTTTCAAGTTCACTGCTATTTTCTTCCACATTGTCTAATATGGCATTAGCCAAGTTCAACATACTTTTTTATCATATATTGTAGTTTTCATCTCTAGAAATCTGAGGGTTTTTTTTATATCTTCTATGTATTTAGTTAACATGTTCCATCTTTCCTCTAGCTTCTTGAATATAGAGAATACAGTTAAAACAACTGTTTTAATGTCCCATCTAGTAATTGTATTGTCTGTGTCATTTTTGGGTCAGTCATAATTGGTTGATTTTTCTCTTTAGTATAACTGTGGACTAAATGAGCTGAAGTATATCTGGCTCCATGTTCCATGGTTTCACATTGGCATTGGCATTGCAAGTTCACGCTCTAGTTTCTAGTACATGTGTCTCTAGTTTACAGACATCATTCTGCTCCAGAAATCTTATTACCCAGTCTGCATACAGCCCTATATCAAACTGAGACTTGCTTTAGGGTTGTCTGCCACTACTTAGGAACTATGTATGTAGGACTCTATTAGCACTGAAGAGTTTTCATGATGCCAAGCTACCATATTCCTTTCCCATCTGCCTGAGTTTTTCAAGTGATGCACCCTGCTCATCCACTAAGGTATCTGGTACCACTTGGCACTCACTGGCAATTGTCTGACTGGACTTCAACTGATAAGCAGTGTAGTGTTGTGGCTAAGTGTCTGCTTTCAAGTTACAGAGCTTGACTGTCTGGGTTTGCATTCCTGCCAAATCACTTAGTAGGTATGGCCTTGAGCAAGTGATTAACTTCTCTATATCTCAATTTCTTTACCTGTAAAGATAATAACGTTACCTACCCTATCAGAATGTTGCAAGGATAAAATTGAACAATGCAATTTAAGGATATTAGAATAGCATCTGGCTTAGACATTTTGTTGTTAGAGTAAGCAGTGCAGTGTGGATCTATACTGGAAAATTTGGCCTGTAGATCACATTCTTAATCTTTACATGACATCCTTATATCTGCTTTGCATATTAGAGAAAATTTCCCTTCTGCTTTTATGACTGGATCAACTGCTCTGATTATTTAAGCCTAAATACATCCTATGTGCTTATCTAGCCTGAAGTACTTGGTAACGGCTTTTAAAATCCCGAAGTATGATAGGAATTATTTTTTTCAGCACTAACTGAAAACAAAATATAAAAGATCAAGAAAAAAGAAAGTGACTAGGAAACAATATTTTGAGACTCTTGGAGATAAATCAACTTTCTTCCTCAATCTGTTTACTTTTAGCTGTATCTTCCTAAATCAGAAAAATAATAATATCTCTATTATTTTATATATATATATTACTCTACACACACACACACACACACACACACACACACACACACACACACATATGAAGGACACTTATGGTCCCTCACAAGCCAGCATTTTTTGGTCTCTGTGATTTTTCTTTCACAGTTCAATATTTTATATTCAAAAGATGGAAAAAAGTTAAGAATATAAACAAAAATTTGATATTTTTAATTAGCAATCAAAATAAATATAAAGAAATTAGTTCTGATAATTATAGCATAAAGCAGAGGTTGTCTACAACACAGGTACATGTTGAAGGCCAACATTTCACCTTTTCAAATATTTTTAAAACACTACCAAACTAAGTGGCATATATTTTCAAGATTCCTTTAGATTCAGAAATGAATACTATTATTATGAACAAAAATTCACAATTGAACTGCTCAGAATTCTTGTAATTAGCATTTATTAACTTGAGCTAAATAACTCACAAGTATTACCTTTTCTGTAGCATTAATTTATATCCTTCCAGTGATGTTCCCTCAGCGGCCTTGACTCTGATAGGATGACCAATAGCCAGGCAGCCCTGAGTTATCGCTCGGCTCAGGATCATTCCAGTCTTCCAATAAATAGAGAGGGGGCAGAAAGGTCTAAATAAGTTAAAAGAACCAGAAAATTCAACAATGTGTCACAAATAGTGAGGTCATTATGCCTGGATAACCCTGGATATTAACGGTTGCCAAAAGTGAAACACTACCCACAACTTAGCAGTCAGTGAGCCCTGCTCAGAATCAGTAATCTTCTGTCCAACAAGGGTGGCGTTTTACAGTTCAGCGCAAAATAAAACAGACCTTGATATCTTCATTTGTCTTTTTTTTCTGTGCATATTTCACAGTGCAGCAATTTGGGGTCCATCACGTGTCACTTGCTATAGTTATAACTACAGAGTTTACTGGAAATATGTATGCACAGAAAGAAAAAAAAAAAAAAACAGTGCAGTGAACTGAAAAGACTGAAACAAATCCTTAACCTTTGCATCAATTTAAAGTTTCACTCTGGGTCTAAATATCATGGGTTAAACACTTTAAGGTGGTTTGTGAATTGCTTTTGTTTTAAATGTTAGGATTTTCTGCCAAGGAAATTAAAGGGAAATATTGCTGGAAGGACCATTTAACCATTTTCTTACTTACTGAAACAATACATTTTTTTTAATAAGTGATAACTACAGAGAAATTTGTCAACATCTACTGGAGATTTATAGCATGTAAAATTCTCTCCTAATAGATTAAAGGATTCATTTTTAAAAGAGGAAGTGAGAGTTCAATCTTAACGGATGTTCAAAATTGTTTCCTTTTTAGCATTTAACTGTATTACTCATGTATTTGCAGTGTGGAAAAGAAACACAATAATAACTGATGACTTAGGAAAAATATTTCTAAAAAATTTTGGTTTTAATAAGCACAAAATAAAATCCTTGTTTGACCACGTTTGTCTATACAGAAAAGAGAACTAGTTAGGGTGATGAAAGGCAGCCATCATTTATTAAGCACTTTCCATATACCAAATACCAAATATGTGCTTGAACATCACACATGCTTTCTCACTTCATCTTCTCAGCAACTGTGCAAGGCGGGTATAACTAACGTCATTTATGGAAGAGAAGGCAGTAGGTCAATGCAGCTAAGTAACTTTCCCAATGTCACACAAGATATTTCAATTATTTTAAAACTCCAAAAGTATACTCTTTTGGTAGGCATTTCAATTATTTTTGAGGAGATTTTAGACATGTACATGCTTTCTGCTATCGTGAAATTCTAGAAAGAGATACATTGGAATTAAAGAATAGGGGATCTGAGAAAGGACCTTCCATAGCAACTGGTCCAACTCTTTTTGATAAAAGACTAACATCTAGATACCATGTGTGACTGTCTGCTGTCATATAGCTATTCAGTGGGGTGCTGAGACTATAACACTTCCATCATGCTCACAGGTAAGGCTATAAAGAGAAGTGTTTTATATTACAATGAAAGTTTTGAAGTCAAAAAGACCAAGAATCTTTCCTCTGCTATTACTAACCTCAGTTTCTTCAGTGGTATAATAAAAACCTGCACAGTTCCTATAACACTAAATGAAATAATGAAGGTGAATAAGGTGCCTAATGTAATGCCTGACACATAATAGATATTCAACTAAGTGGAATTGTCATTATTATTAAATCAGAAACAAAATACCATGTAAAAAAGGTAAATAGTTAAGCCAGTCTCCAGGCTGAAAATCCAGATTTCAGGAATACCTCATGTAAACTTATTCTGCTTTGATATATGAAATAATAATATGTCTTAAGTACCTTTGTGTCTTAATTATTCTATATGTTTATTTTTAACTTTCATAGAATTAAAGAACAATAGTTAAGGGTAATCCAAAATTTCATTTGAGAAATCATGTCAATCTTCCCTCCTCCCAGCAAACTTCACTGGGTGACTTCACATTCACAAGAGTTTTAAGAAGTAGCAAAATAATCTGTGATTAGGGGCCACAGGGAGATACAAGAAGGATAGGTGTGAACTACACCATCTCTTTTCAACAAAAATACATATTTACAAAATGTACTGTAGTAGTAAGATGAAAGGAGAGGACAATTTTATGTTCTTCTATAAGTCATATCCAATAGTACAATAATAAAGGGAAAATATTAAGTATTACCAATACACATGAACAAAATGTATTAGGCATTGTTCATTTATACTCAGGGGTTTATTTTAAAATATGTCCTTGCTAAGACGATATGCAAAGCCGGTATATGCTGCTAATCTACCAGACTCAGGGAGGCTCAGGAGTAAATCTCAAAATGAAGACTCACTAGTGGAAGCACATTCAGACAAATCTCATGAAAATGATGAGTCTGTGGACTATAAACAAATTCTATGCTTGGTTTAAATAGACTGTGAGATATAAACTAATCAGCAGCATGTCTGATAGTGAACTGAATGCTCACTTGAGAATCTACAGAAGTCCTGTGGGCTATACAATACCAAGAGCAGAGATAGCATTTATAATAGCCAACAATTTATCACACTTTCACTTGTGTGCTCCTGTGCATGAGAGCACCAGGTGCCTGTGAGTGTGGTGAGCCAGCAAGTAAGGGGAGTTCACTCAGCAAAAGCAGACACTCTTAGGTACTAGGTACCTTGGTGATCAGCCACACACTGGCTTCAGGCCACAGGATCGATGACACCGTCTGACTCCTGCTGCTTGCTTCACTGCTTGAGAAACTCCACTTTCCAATGGAAACTGAGGCATGAAGGACAATATTGGGATCTACCTATATCATGAGAAGAAGTATACATTTTTAACTCATAGTCTAAGAGGTAAACTCCTCAACACACTTACCCTAAAAAGTTATCCTAGAATGTTATTTATTCTGATTGATATCTCTTTTTAAAAAGTAGCATTCAATCCCCTTTAATTCAATTCAATCAGTATTTGTTGACCACCGACTCTAATATGCCAGACCCTATGCTGTGTGGTGTGGAACATTATAAAATATTTTTCCTGCCCCAAAGAAATATACAATTTCTCTCTCTCTTCCCACCCACCTTTTATGTTAAGCTCCAAATGAATGATTAAATAGTGTTATTACAGGCATGCAAAAAATGGTATGCTCATTTCTGCTGGAGTAACCTAAAGGTGGAGCATCTTGAAAGAGGTAACACGTAAACCTGGCCTTGAAGGATGGGGACAGTTTGAGAGGAATAATAAAGAATAAAAAGGTATTCCAAGTAAAGGCAAGGAAGTTTAATCAATGTGTCTTAGGATTTGCTGGTAGACTCAAAAGGTAAATTTGTCCAAACTGTAAAAAGTGCCAAGTGTAAAGCTATGGAGTCAGGTGAACAGTAGGGAGCCAGTGAGAGCTTTCAAACTATCCAGCTAGCGGCAGATTTTAGTTAGGTGGATCTGGTAAAGGTAGAGGATAACAGATTGTAGAATGAAGACATCAAAGGCAGGGAAAATATCTGGGAGTTCATACAATCTCCTAAGAATAAAGGAACATGAGCTGAGACTTAAGAGATAGTTGTGGGGAGGGACAGGAAGGTACTGAAGCGGGAGACATTGCACCCACATCTCTTGTGTTCCTTATTAGATTACATATGTCAAAGGTGTTGTGCACCTTCTAGCAGTTCTCACTTAGAACCTGATTGTCAAAGTATTAGGCACTCACAATACCTGTAGGAATTCTATTACTTCATGCTGAATAAATCGTATCTCCTAAATTATATGATCACTTTCACTGAGTAATCATTCTAGGTTTTTTAGTACCAATATTTATTTGTGTATGCTTACAAGAATATGCCAATTTATACTTAAAACCCAATACATGATGTTGCTTTAATACTATCAATTTATTTTCTAACACTAAAACTTCCATGCTATATCTGTGCTAATGCTAGATATTGCTGAGTAGAAAATTATTTTTTAATGCACAAATTCAATGATGATTTAAAAGGAAAATTGTTACAAGTGTGATCAGGCAATATCAAAGGGATAAAACTAATACATGCGGTAATTATTCTATAAGGAAAGTTACTTCTCAAGAGAAGAAAATATCATATTACTCCTATTTGTGAAAATGAAATTTAAAAAAAGACAGCAACACTACCACATAAGTGGATTTGACTTATAGCACTTCTAGTGGCTGGCTGGATTCTGGAGGGGAATCCCCACAGTTTCTGAACAATGATAAACTACATTCTACTAATCCATTCGCCACAGGACTCAGCATTTAAAGTAGCACTCTTACTCAACCTCCTAACTCCAAGTTGCCATCACACTCAAAACTCCCCTCTGCAACTGGGCAGAAGATTGTTTTGACTGAAATTAGTCAGACAGAAGAACCATACTGCCAACTGCTTCTTTGTACAGCACCTGCTGCCAGCGCCTACATTCTTGTTATCTCCACAACATGGTTTAATCTTTTAACAGTTGGCTTATTGGTGAAGAGTGAAGGGATCCTTTGTCTCTGCCTTGGGCTGGCACCTAGTATTAACACCATGCTGTTCTGCAAGAGATATTTTGCTGGACAGTTCCCAAGTGATTCTACATAGAGCAGACACAGCAAGGCCCACTAACTCAGCTTTATTTTGTGTTATTTAAAAAAATAAAAATTCTTGCCAAGTCTGGAGTTCTGATGCGCTTAAAACTGACCATGGCCATTAAATTTTTCTTCTGTGACTTCACTTTTTAAATTAATTTGGTAGCTTAGCTTTAGACCAAATGGAATTGGGAAGTTAAGAACTATGAAAGTTAGGATTTAAGAAAAAAAAAGTGCTCTGACAATCTGCAACATAATGTGCCATATGTATGTGTGTGTGCACCCATGTACACACATGCATGTTCATGTGTATAACAGCATTTAGACTGAGACTGGTATGTAAATGAATACTAACATATATGTCACTAAAAACGTTTTTAAGTCTTATTGAGAATCAGAAAACAAATTCTCTTTTATCCTTCTAAATACTTACACACATAGCTCCCTTAAGTGACCATTATGATTTTGCTTGTCTGAATAAACTGTGCTGATGTAGAAGCAGTCAATGATAAAATAATGCATATACATGCTGGGCCAGTTAAACCTTGTTTATTTTTTTTTCCAAATGGCTCATGAAGGTAGAGTAGCCGTCAACATTTTTGTGCAAATTCAAAATAAGAAAAGAATCACTTATGATCATCTCTTGCACATCTACTAAGAAACAAAGCACAAGACAATATAATGTTTCATGAAAGAAGTTCATAGAGCACAACCCTCATTTTGAACAAATTGTTTATTCTATTGCAAAAAAATTTTACATGATGTTCACTTTTGATAATGCATTTAGGGTCAATTTGAATAATTTTACGCATATTAAAATCACAGCTAATTTTTAAAATGTTATAAAATCTCTTTCCTCATGTAATTTCTGTTCTCTGTTATTGCTTCTATGCTTTAACTCTATAGATGATCAGTCCACCCACTTCCAAGGCCAATGAATGGAAAGAGTTATAAGTAGAAAATATCAGCAAGGCAAAATCATGCAGTCAAACAAGGCAAAATATCTAAGATCTAATTGGACTGAAAATAAAGAGAAGGACTTGGGGTTTTAATTCAAGTCCTGTGTCCTATGCTAATGGCAATCTGTTCAGAATTTAAACTGGAATTTTGTATTTGCTTTAGTATATGAATAATTTACAGAAAATATCATTTTTCAATGACTTGCTCTCCAAAGAAGTAGAACAGCAAAGAGTGTTTGTCTTTTCCCAGCCTCCTTTATGACAAAAAGAATAATGCCAGAGTAACACAGTAATTCAGTAATTATGAATGCATTCTACTATCATCCGTAACCGCTGAATTCACAAGCTAAACTTTAACAAGTATACCATGATTCCAAAATTATAACTTGATGTTTCTCTTGCTGTTTCCATACAGAAAGTTGTCACTAATGTCCTGCTGATGTCTGTAAAGCCATGTACTGAAAGCCTAAAATTAAAATAAATTTCCTTTTATTTTGGCAGAACATACGACCTTCCAAACATCAGAGTCCATTTTTCTGCTGTATTTTCCCATAACCAGGCATTCCTCACGCTATTCTTTTCATGAAATATTTTCTTTGATATTAACTACCATGAAGTTTAAATCTCATCCATTTTATGGAGACATCTAATTTGATTGCCCTTAAACTGAGTCAATCTAAAAATGTTGCCAATTAAAGCAACAATAGAGAGATGCTGAAAAATGTATTCACCAAATTGTCAATGTGTAGTAGATTCCAAAACTGTTATTGAAATGGATAAAAGAGCAACAGGTTGTAATGTCAGGGTTATAGCTGACTCCTACATTACAAATGGGGATTATATGTTCCAAATTTTTCTCTGTAGGAAAGGTTCTACTTGTCAATAAGAGATTTAAAAGAACAGTCAGGGGCTGAGCACTGATATCTCTATCTCAAGCCAATTTTAAAACATATGCATCAAGAGTATCGGCTTTTGCCTCCCTTCTCTCAATCCCTGTTGTAATCCTCTTAGTGTGTTCTTTACCTCAATGAGCAGCAAGATTCTACAATAAAATGCCCAACAGATATCCATCACCTCTGCCTGAATCCATCTTTAAAAGTGCTCCTTTTCAGGTTATTAAATTACTATTCCCAATAGACTGATCACCACTCTGTAAGTAATTGGAGACATTTTTCTGAAAGGATTTTAGAGGCTTCACAGCTATGGAAGAGCTGTTTGTCTTTGAAAGTTTCTTTTTACTTTTATCAAATTTTTGCTTTCTTACAATTTTGCTTTCTACTATTTTTGTCGAACTAAAATTTTTAAAGCTAAAAATGCCATAGCATATAAACATTTAGTTAAGATGATTGTTTTCTCATTTTTACTAAATCATTAGAACCATTTAATGATTCTCTCATTCTTCAACATTTTAGAAATTACAGTTATCTTATTATAGTTATCCCACTTTGACATAAAAACAAAGAGAAAAGTCTCCTTTGGGTTCCTTTCTTCTGATATCTCTTTGATATCCAGTTGTTTTTTAGGTTTGAGTTGGTCTCTGTTGAATTAGTCAATTGACTAGTAAATTCAATTCAGGTCAGCTAACTGAACATCTAGATACTGCAGCAGAAACAGAGATGATCAGGATACCCTTTGCCTCTGAGAAATTTTTAATCTAGCAGGGAGGATAAGACAAGGACTTCCTGAGTTATCTTCCCAATATGAAGATCAGATCACATCTTGCCTCTGCTCAAATATTTCCAATGGCTCCTTGCTTTCTACAAAACAACCAGAATTCCCTAATACTGAATTAAGACCTTTCATGATCTGATCCTAACATCCCCAGAAGAACCTCCCATTCTCTCCCATCTACCCTAATGTAACCTGAAATATGCCCAAACTTGGAGCCTAATTGATTTTAAGCCATGCAAAAAGAAGTCGTAAGAGGAACAGCATCTAGTTCAATATCACTGTAAATGGTGTAAAGGGGAATTGTCGTATCTGGTTGGGAAATGGGGTTGGGGTAAAGAAACATTTCATGAAGCACTCACAAATCAGATGGGGTAGAATGATGGGCAGGATTTTAATAGCATTTATTGAATATGCCAAACTCTGTGCCAGGATATGGCACAAGGGTGACAGAGAAGGCTAGGTGTGGTGACACAAAAAGAAGGGTGGAATTCTAGTCAAAGAGGTCCACATGGGCATAACAACAGAAATCAGGGAGTGCTTTCAGAAAACAACAAATAACAATCTGGCTCAGCTATCACCCAAAGACCATATTAGAGAATATTCAGCCTTGCAAGATACGTTATGGCTAAACAAGCAAACAAAAAAATCCATTCACCAAAAATGTATTGTGCATTTGCCCTACATTGAGGACTTTGTCTTAGTGCTTAGGAATACAAAGACGAGTAAGACAATGTCTGCGCCCAAAGAATCCTCAGTTTAGTGGAGAGGAAACATAAAAGCAAATACCTATACCAAAACACAAACTCAACACAACTTTCAAATGAAAATAAGGAGTCCTGAGAATACAAAATAAAGATTAATTTTTCCAGAGTATCTGAGAAGGCTTTATGGAAGAGGTTGTTGAGTAAAGCCTTAAGAAGCAAGGAATGGTAACGGCTGGGGGAATATCCCAGGCAAAGAACAATGCAAGGCATGGCACAAGTATACAAAGGTGGAAAGTATGTCATGGTATACAATTTATTAGCTCTGACTGTATTTAGAGTATATGGAGGAGCAAGAAGAAGAGAAAATCGGAAAGGTAAGTTGGGAGTGAACGTAGATTAGAGGAGAATCATGGAGATCAATGAAGTCCAGATGAAAATTTGGAACTTCAAAAGGCAACAGCCAAGCATACATGCTTTTTGAGCAAGAAAATAGTGCTGCAGCAAAAAAAACCTAACAAGGAATGCCAACAGGATCAGACCTACAGTAAATAAATCCTAATGTCAGATTAAGGTAAAAATACAAAAGACATTAATGAGCACACCATTCTACTTACTTTAATTTTCTAAATTTGCTCAAAACCAGGTAGAATTAGAAATATTTGATTCTATTTTGAAGACTATACTATTTAGATCGATATGCTCCTTGAAATAACCAATATTTTCCGTTTAAATTTTGACATAATTGAGAAACTGAATGGGTAGAAAAAGAAATTTAAAAAGAGCAGGTTGGGGTGATGTGTCTCTTGCATTGACTCTTGGAAATAAAGGACCTAGTTGATAGGAAGTCCTACTTTCTTTGGACTGCTCTATCTCTATGAATGACTTTTGATTTTGATTTCATGTGTTCAAAAACTAAAGCTTATACAGCTAAAATGAATGACAACTGTACACAGAGTTTGCCAGCTAAGAAAAACAATAGAATTATTCCTTGTTTGGAGACAGATTTAAAATACCTCTCATAATTCAGATGGAGGAAAAAATCTTCTTTACTGGAAAGATACATTTCTAAGTGTAAATTGATACGGACCTTCTGGATTGGGTTGCCATGAGTTAGGTTTCCTAAAGAACTGGTGTTCCTTAGATTCATCGACCTATATAGTGAATAGATCAGATCCTAAACTATAGAGATAGCAACCCTCTTAAAGACTTCCTTAAATAACTCCAACTTATTATTATAGCTATTAATAGTACAAATAAAACATGCCAAACAATAGGGCTTAAATAACATGAATCAGGTAGAAGTTTTTCAAGTAGGAATGGTATATATTGTTTCAGTTTTGAAGTGCCTGGTTAATTAACAGGAAGTAAAGAATAACATCTGCCCCAACATTTGTAAAAATAATTTATAGTTTAAAAATCTGTCACAGGCCAGAAGCCATTGCTCACACCTGTAATCACAGCACTTTGAGAGGCCAACGTTTGCAGATCACTTGAAGTCAGGAGTTTGAGACCAGCCTGGCCAACATGGTAAAATCCCATCTCTACCAGAAGTACAAAAATTAGCTGGGCATGGTGGTGCATGCCTATAGTTCCAGCTACTCAGGAGGCTGAGGCAGAAGAGTCCCTTGAACACAGGAGGCGGAGGTTGCAGTGAGTCAAGATCGCCGCACTGCACTCCAGCCTGAATGACAAAGTGAGACTCCAACTCAGGGGGAAAAAACAAAACAAAACAAAAAAAAAAACTGTCACAAATATCCATCCTACATTGGCTGAATGTCCAAGGCATGAAGCGCACCTTTTAAGGTACAATTACTAAAATCTGACCTTATTCTGTAGGAAATGGTTCTCCAAGTCCACCTTTTCAAACTGGTCAGGTATCTGTTGACTGGTACAGTTGAAATTAATTGGAAATCCCTCACAAACTTCCCAACTAAGAAAAGTAAAATACGTAATTATTTTTATTAGAACACTATGCATTTATTTACAATACTCTTTAATCATAAAACTCTTTGAGGATTACTAATAATTTATACATCTTATACTCTGTTAGTAAAAAAAAAGTATAGTTTATAATCTTTTTAATACAGATTTGTATAGTGCCTTGCTAGCTATAATTGGTAAAGGGAAGACTTTGTAAGTTTACCTGACAATTATTTATGAGATGGGAGGATTCCATGCCTAATTAGTTATTAGTAGAACAATGAAACAAAAATGACTTTTACCCTTACAAAATTACTTGTGGTGGAGACCATATCCTTGTTAAATTTATATTTCAAATACACTAGATTATGAATAATAAAGAATGTTTTTATACTTATAATGGTTAAACATGCTAGTCTTCTAATTTCAAGAGAGCCTTAGGAGACATTACAGTTTAGTGAGTATATGCAAAAAGCACAAACTTAGACTCTGAGTTTTCTTCTTAGTTCAGCCAAATCATTTATCTTAAAAGTGATCCAATTCTTATCTTAAAAAACACTACCTGGCTCAACACAGATATGTTAGGACATACTATGCAGCATGATATTCAACAGAAACAAGTCCTTGAACTGGTAATAGCAATTTCTGTCAATACTCTGAGAAATACAAATAAGAATATGATTATTAAGATATAAAATAATCCACTTTTAGAGTATAGAAAGAAAATCCAAATGGAGTGTAAAACTTGAGTAAATTATCTAACAAAATTAGTTTGCATTCAGTAAAGGCAGTTTCACATTGTTATACTTTGGGACCTAGAACTAATTTGAATAAATTTAATAAAACAGTATGTATTGCACTTGAGGAAGTGAAATTAAGAAGGACTTTATGAATTAAAAATGTAAACTCCTGGCTAAAAATGCAAGGGAAAGAGTTGAGGCAAGTTTAACAGCTTGGGGAAAGATTATTGCACACAAATTAAATCCTCTTATAAATAGAAAACGTCTGTAAAAAGAATGCTGATGACTTACTTTCTATCTATAATGAAACAGGTTCAAATCTTGCCTGGAAAGTACCAGCAGTCATTGGGAAATAAAGCTATTATTTAAACAATCACCAAAGAGTATGTCCCTCTAGACATATTTAGCAATAGGTTGTTACTGGCTGAACTGAGTGAACTCATCAGACTGCTTTTGGTTCTCTGTATACACCTTCTAGTTCAGCATTTACAACTGCTTATTAAGGAGAGCTATAATTTGTTAAATTATAAGATTGTTAAAGTTAGATGAGACCTTATAGATAGATTACCTAATCCAAAATAGGATCTTCTGCAATGTCCAATATGGTAGTCACTAGCTACCCATTTCTATTTAAATTTAAATCAATTTACTTGAACAAAATTTAAAATTCAGTTTTGCATTCATACTAGTCACATTTCAAATGCTCAATAGTCACAGTGTGTCCGTCATCACAGAAAGTTTTATCAGATGGCACTGAATAGTGGTTAAGCCAGGCATCCCCAAACTTTTTACACCGGGGGCCAGTTCACTGTCCCTCAGACCGTTAGAGGGCCGCCACATACTGTGCTCCTCCTCTCACTGACCACCAATGAAAGAGGTGCCCTTTCCTGAAGTGCGGCGGTGGGGGCCAGATAAATGGCCTCAGGGGCCGCATGCCGCCTGTGGGCCATAGTTTGGGGACGCCTGGTTAAGCACTCAGGTACTTAAGACAAATGATCTGGGTTAGAATTCTGGCTCTACCAGGTACCAGCTGTGCGACTTTGGACAAATTACTTCCCTCCTTGTACCTTGGTTTCTGTCTCTGAAAAATGGAGTTAGAGTAATACAGAATAATAGGATTAAGATAATTGTTGTGAGGATTAAATTGATTCTTACCCAATTAATTTGTAACTGTGCCTGGCCTGCAGTCAACAGTCAGTGAAAGCCAGTTTATATTATTTGCAGATAAGAAACTGACACCAATCTGCTCCTGGACAATCAGGAGCAGAGATGAAGCAAAATGCCTCCTTAGATCTCCTAACTCCTCCTCACTGCCCCAACAAGGCCCCAGAAGGTTGCTTTTGCTCTAAATGTATCATCATCAGATAAGATGTTTGAATATGAACACTCACACAGAGAACATATTTTATATTTTAATAATTCCATTTAAAATGATTAATTTAGAAATAACCACTAAAAACAGCTTTTCCATTCCAAACAAAATTGTTGTTTCTGCAAAGCAGAAACTATACTCTGCTCACGGACCCATACAGTTTTCTAAAATTAAGGGAATAAGCCTTTTAGGCACTACCTCATTATGCCATGAAATAAGTCAATAAAAATTTCCTTTTTAAGACTATTGAAAGAGCATCTTTTAGTGTTTCAAATCTCTCACTCTGAAAAATCCTGAATTAAGTGATTTGGATTACTTTAACCACATCTTTAATAAGATTACTTGTTAATTTACTTGCCACATCCAGGTAGCAGAACAGTATTAGGATCCAAAAAGGTCTTATATGCAACCACGATGTCACCTCTGGCAGATGCACTCACTCGATCAAAGGTCAAACCCAAAGCGAGGTTTAGTGGAGATCTAAAAAAATGGAAAAAAATCAAAACTATCTTCAAAATTACATATACACTGAAATTTGAGCACAAACAATAAAACACACATTATTAGTGTCTAATAAAATTCAGAAATAAGTGAATTTCCTATGATATAACTGATATTCTATATTAACACCTGAAATATATACTTCAGTTTATTTAGCTGTTCTATAATATGTCAAAATAATTTCAACATATGTAATTTAAAAAAATAATTGCAATAATTAAAGCAAAGTAGTTGAGAAAAACAATCATCATTCATATAATGTTCATTTTCCATGATTAACAGTAATCCCATACATCTATAGTAATCTTAGGAGCTGATAATTAAATGAATTCTCAATATTTGGCTATAAACAACCATTTTTTGTGAGCTCAATAAATGCGATGCTGATTTAATTTTCATATTACATATTGTTAAACACATCGTTTTAGATGAATTTGGAAATTAAAATCAAAAACAGATTTTAAATCAAAACAATGGCCACTATTGTCAACTATGAGCCATTTTTCTCTAAATTACTAAAGACTTGCTATTTATCTCTAGAATTAAAAATCCACAGCATTGCCTGTGTAGTCTTGTTACCAAAAATATTTAAACTGAATCTCATCATGAGAAAAAACTCAGACAAACCCAGAATGTGGGACATTCTATAAGAAAAGTGCTTGCACTCTTGAAAATTAAGTTAATGCCATGAAAAACAAAACAAAAGATTAAGAGAATATTCTACATTAAAAAGAACTAAAGAAAATTTAATACAAAGAAGCATATTTGGATACTGGATTACAAAGAGCTCTAAAGCATATTTTGGTTAGCTTGGATATAGAGCGTATATCAGAAGATATTACACTACTGTTGACTGTGTTAGATATTATAATGTGGTGACACATAACTCTTCTTCAGTTATGTGACCTGAAGCACTTAGGAGTGAAATTTTAATGTCTGGAATTGCTTTCAAGCCATGAGAGAGAGAGAGAGAGAGAGAGAGAGAGAGAGCGCGCAAGCATGCAAGAGAGAGAGATGGAGATATAAAAGAGGAAAACAAAGTGGCAAACTCTTTAAAAGTTTTCTTAGATTTGAAATTTTTCAAATAAAAATTTGAAGGAAAAATAGAGTATTCAAAATAGAAGCAGACATTGGCAAAACTCGTCTTTTACAAATGAGTAGCTTGACCCCTTATATCAACATAAGTTAGACACAGTAGAATTACCTACTGAAAATGAATACTGTTTACTTGGTATATATTTCATATTTTCTCAATATATTTCAAACTAGATGGTGATAACTTTTTAGACATATACATTTTAAACATTCCCATGGTAGCAAAATGCTGTAATGGTTTCCTGGTGCTTTATGTTGGATTGGAAACAACAAAAATACATTACAGTGTTAAAATCACAATAAAATACAAATAAATATATGTACTGGTAAATTTCTCCAACTACAGTTCTCAGATGCCTTTTAGAATATCTCAGATTTTGGGCATTTTACCAGTTATTCCACAAATATGATCCAATTAGCCAATAACAAGTGTTTAAAATTATTAAAATGCTGTATGACAGCAAATGTCATTAAAAGTATCAAAACTAATGTCATTACTTTCATTTTGACAATAATATTAAAAAGAAATAATAATGACACATTTTATGAAAGCCTATCCTTGTAATTAGAAGAGCTTACTAGATTATTCAAGAATTCTTGCCTCTTTAAAATTCATCAGTTTTTATCATTGTAAAAACAATTCTACTTATAATGTAATGAAATTATATTTTGAAATTTATCTATGGACAAAAACTTACCATTCCATTCCTTATAGATTTCTTAATTCTATAAATTACACAGCATAAGAAATCATCAAGTATTTTAATTTTACTGGGGCAGAAGAAATAAAATTTTGTAACATGAGACACACAACTTATTCTAGCCACTTATTCCAAATCCTTCATGGATTTATGAGTACATTTGTTTCAGTATTTGAAATTTTAACTATTTGAACACATAGCAAATCCAATCAGCCCTTGCTTTAGTAAGATTTAGGTTTATTTATGCTATTTTCATTATAGTTAATATATGATTAGTTATACTCTATATGAAAAATTACTTCCCCTCATTCTGTTCTACAGCTAATAAGCTAAAAAAAAATTAAAAATAGGCAGAAAAGTATGTTTAAGTTTTCTGACAAGCAGTTTCAGAGTTCATCTGGATGTGTCCTGTCAAAATATGCATACATTTCCAAGATATTGAACACAACAGCCCAGCTCATCAGTGCCTGTATACTGTAGCCTTTTTCTTTCTTCAGAAACGCAGATAATTTTATGCAGGAATTTACCAATCTACAAAAATTTACACAATGCTCAGCAATAACCAGTAATTATTGTGGGATAATGTAAGTTGCTTTTGAGGAATATAACTTTGATAGGATAGGGCTTACAAGCTTTACCAATTTATCTTTAGCTGTCCTGTTATTGGTGCTTAAAAGGTTAAGACTTTATTTGTGAAAACATAGAGAGATAGAGGGGAATCGTGTTGTCTACAGCTTCATAAATCTTGCTTAAGATCCTTTTCAATTACCATCCATTTCTCCTTTAAAAAGGGACAAAAAAAAAATAGAGGAGTGGAAGCAGGTCAGGGCAGTGTGCGACAATGACAGTGTGATGGGCTTGGGCACCCCGTGGCGTTTCCATCTGCTATCATTAAGGTGACTACTCAGACATGAACAAATCCCTCTTGCTGTGCTGACAGGCAGACTTCAAGAACTATGACAAGGCATTAAGACAGAAAGTCAGAGAGAGAGAGAGAGAGAGAGAGAGAGAGAGAGAGAGAGAAAGAGATGTCATATTCCACAAACAATACTGCCTTGCAAAAACACCTCTGAAATTTTATTGGAATTCAAAATTTTTAAAAATGTTTCATAAAGGGTGCTACTTGGCTTCTCAAATCTCCTTTCAAATTAGCTCACCCCTGGAAAGACTGAGAACAGAAAACAAACCCTTTGCTCCTACCTGTATGCTCTACCATAAAAGACCCAAATTTTTTGCTCATTCTTCAGCAAAAGTGGATCCTTAATTTCTTGACCATTCTCATCAAAAAGCCGCATTGAAGAAAAATTGAGGCCTGTTGGGTTGATGGAAGAATCTTGAAGCCTTTGATGAATCTTGAAACGAAACTGGTTGGGGGCGGGTCGGGGCAGAGGGGATAAAGAATAATAAATAACCTAAATGGAAACATCTGTAATAAACTGTCTCTACTCTGTAACAAATGAAGTTCAAATAAATGATAATTAAATTCATATAGAATGTTAAAAGAAGTGTGAAATGACGGCAATGTTTAGCTCAGTGTAAAGTAACAAAATGAGCATGAGCTTTTAACCAGCAGGGGGTGCCACAGGCTTGTGATTGAGCTCTGACCCTTTGGCTCGGGGACTGAAAGCAGATGTGGCAGTTTTACAGAAAGAGCATTTAGCTTCTACACATGGTAATGGTCCTCTTTGATAAGGGTTACACTTTTCTTGTCTGAGCTACATATTTTGTTAGGGGCCTTCCAGACCACGTTCAAGTTTTACAATCACCAGTCTCCCTGTCCCCAACAAATCTCAGGTAACTAATAACAGGAGAATTGCAAAAATTAAAATGACTTTTCATGTAAGTTGGTTCATTTACAAAGGTCTCTTTCTAGATGCATTTTAATTATGAACCCTGAAATAGCTTGTCAACAGCTTCAACAATGGATGTTTTTAACTTGTAAGACATCATTGAAGTGTGAGGTACGGAAAGCTGTCATTTAATATTTAAAATAATAGCATCGTCATTGTTTGCTTCTATCTTGCGTTTAGAATCTCTAAATTATCAAGACATTTCTAATTTAGGGGATGTTTCAAATATAAAGTAAATCTAACAGAAGTGTGCTGTATATGGTATTTTTAAAGGCATTTTTCATTATCTTCTGTCAGCTTTGTTTAAGTGTTTCAGCCTCTGCTCTTTCCTGCTCTGCACGCCACCCTATCCATCACTCTTCCCCTAGCCTTCTGTCATGGGCTTCCTTTTCATCTCTTCCTTGTCAGTTCTTGTGTCTCACGATTTCTTGTTACTCTGTAATCCCTGCAGGGTTGTGGATATAGCTGTGGTCTTTTCTGGCCTAACTGCAGTTCAGGGTCCTTTTTTTTTTCTTTTCTTTTTTGCTCCTCTATTAATTCCCATTGGGGGTATATTGAGAAGTGCTAAATGCTGAGGCTCAGAGGAAAGAAGGGAAAGTTACAGGTCTGCCATGCGTCTCAGGTGTCTCACTGATTGGCTGTAAACTCCTGACTGAGCAAATATTTCCTTTGACCTGCAACTACATGTATAGGACCTAAGAATTAGGCTTTGTCCTAGTTAGAGATACATAACAGTTTCTCCAACTTCAGTGTTTTCATTAGCTGAAGATTTTTAGTCTTGAGCCTTGGAAAGTCTAGAAATGATGACACTTTCTTTCATTAATGTAAATAGTCCTCATCCAGCATAGCCAATTCCTTTGAATTAAAAATGATAATTACTCTCCTCTTTAGGTGTTTAAGAGGCAACGGTGTTAGAACAGTAAAAATCTATATTGTCTTGGTTATTTTTCCATTGAAACTGCAAACATATTTAAAAATCTATAGACTGTATTTCTAAAGCCCTACATTTATTTTTGTGTAGTCTCAGCCCTTGAGCTTAGTTTTGTTGCTTTTCTATTATTTCAGAAAACATGTTATGCTGATCACTTTTCAAATCATAGAGATTTTGCTTTATAGGCATCACCTGTAAGGCATCATTCCTTTTTATAAAGAGGAATGATACAAAAGATTTAAGGCCTGATCCAGGAAAGAAATTGGTGCAGGGATGTGAAGCAGACATGCGATGGGATCACCTGACCACTTAACCAAATTCACTTTCACAGGAGTTGCAATGTAATCTCTATTTTCTCAAGTTGGTGACAGACTGCATTTTAGGTGTTCAAAGATGAGCATTCAATAGTCTATAGGAGGTGAGGGCCTCTGTGCCCTTCATCTTTAGGTCATTGGTTAGGCCTTTGTGGTGACAACCAAACATTGTGATAATTGTCACCCATTTATCTTTAAAGCTATCATCACCAGGCCTTTATAGGATAAGAATTTGTTCAAGAACCTGAAAAGAGTGTGAAACATCTTAGGCTAGTGATTGAAACAAATGTCCACACAAGGGAGCAGTTGTCCATGGGTAGTGTCACAAGGGCTCTCTGAAAGAGCTTTATAATGCCCCTAATTAATGCTTTTGCCCCAGATTTATCACATACAGAAGCACAGCATAGCTCAATTTCTGTGTGCTATAAGTCAATACAAAAAAAGTTTCTATAGAATAGTATCTTCTTCTTCTTCTTCTTTTTTTTTTTTTTTTTTTTTTTTTTGAGATCGGGTCTCACTCTGTCGCCAGGCTGGAGTGCAGTGGTGGGATCTTGGCTAACTGCAACCTCGGCATCCCAGGGTCAAGCAATCCTCCCACCTCAGCTCCTGAGTAGCTGAGACTACAGGCACGCACCACGATGCCGGGATAATTTTTTTTTTTATTTTTTGTAGAGATAGGGTTTTGCCATGTTGCCCAAGCTGGTCTCAAAACTCCTGAGCTCGAGAGTTCCATTTGCCTCAGCCTTCCAAAGTGCTCGGATTATAGGCATGAACCACCATGCCCAGCTTAAGATCTTCTTGTATAAGATAACAATTGCCATCTTCAGTTTTAACATGAACTCAGTGGTAAAATATTCTAATGTAAAAAGAGGGGATGACAGGTAAAAAACCCTATGAAGGCCTTTATGTCATAGTGATTTGTATAATCAGTTATGTTATGGTAAAAAGAAACCAGGCAAGGCTCCGGATCCTTCTCTCTCTAATCAAAGCAGCATTTCTTCCTCTCTTCCAGGTCCAGCTAATGATCCAATGAGAGCATCCCAATTCATATGCAACTTTTTTGATTGGCTGTAAAAGCCAGGTAATGGATACCACCAGGAGAGGTAAATCTGAGGGTGCTGAACTAAAGGGAGAAAAAGGGAACAAGTTACTGAACAAAGGCAAGGCAACAGAGCCCAAAACACTGGTGTGCACTCGGGTGCATAACCCCAATTTGTAAACAACAGGCTGTTCAGTGTCCTTTTATGCAAGACAAAGACCCAAAATAAAGACCCTGAACATGTTGGTTCTGCCTGAGAAACATCCCAATTGTCTGGAAAACAGAAAAAGGTAACAGTGCCTAAGATGTGAGCAAAACTAGCTGGACTTGCTCACAATGAGCATGGGAGAAGACCAAGGCTGCATGCTAATTACTCAGAATACAGGGTTTAGGAATACCCTAGACCCAGGGCATACCTTTTACTTCTTTAAAAATTGTAAACAAGAGGGAAATCCTAATGTATCAAAACCAGGGCTCAGTATAGACAGATTCCAAATATAAGCACGATGAATGTTAAGAATCTGTTAGGTACGGAGTCCAGGAGTTAACACTACACTAAAGCCGAAAGCCTAAGAAATTCAGAAGTCAATCTTTGCAATATCAGTCTTTACAGATCAACAAACCATAGATCTTCTGCAAACAACCTTAAGATGTAATTGTCTAAATTAGATACAAGTAACTTGCATGACACTTAAAGGCATAAGTAAATTGTCAGTAAACTCACTCTTTCCATCATGTCATCAGTTTGAATTGGGCTATCAGATCCCAAATCTTTTTTACTGATACAAACAGAGATCTCTCCAGTGTTTTTACCATTTTCAAATACCTGAAAAATAAATACATTCAAAAGTAAAAATAAATACATGCACACAGACATGCATATATTCATACACACAGATAAATTTAGGCAGTCCTCCCTCTTCACGGTACCATGTCAATTGAAAACACTGTACCTGGGAAGTGAGCAAAGAAAGGACAGACTGTATAAACACACGCAAGTAAGTAATTGGCAATGGAAATAAACAGCACTAAAAAGAAGAAGTCTCCTGCTTCTCCTTTTGGCTTCAGTGTCTAATTTGACTGGCATACCCTACAATCTTATAATAGAAGAAAATGTGGACATTAAAGAAGGAATCACTGACCACAGTGGATTCTTAAATCCAAGCAAGTGCTAAAAAAAAAGTCAACTAGCAACCAATTAACTAGCTCATCTTGATCTTCATAAAACCACAAATAATGTGAGGAATATTATACTTTGGTTTATACTTAAATATATCAGTGTTCAGCTCATCTTTTGGCTCACTAAAAGGAAATTTAACCTGACAGATTTATTGCATAACAGTATGATGAAAGTCATCAATTTTGAGTGCATATATCCAACAAGTTGTTGAGAACAGAGATAAAATTCATAACATTGCATTATGTAACACTCGCTGGGGAAAAAAAATGCTAGCAAACGTTCTAGTCAAAAGGATCTGAATAAACCAATCCCGACAGGATGGCTTCACCAGAGTGAACACCACCCCTTCGACCACGCTGAGGATCCATGTGGGGTGTGCCATTCACCAGGCAAGAAAGGAAGCAGCTGAGAGAGGGCCCGATGAATAATTTAAACTCCTGCTTTTTTTTTTTTTTTTTTTTTTTTTTCTCAAAAGCTCTTTTCTTCCCTCTCTGATATGCCCATCACATCAGCAGACCCATTTATTTATTTCTAGTGCTATTTCCAGAGAAAATAATTTGGGAGAATACTTATTTAAAAATTCTTAAAACCATCTTTTTAAAAATATTTTTTGAGAAAGTTTGACATTTATTTAATTAGTTTCAACCTGGTTTTGGAAATAATGTGCTTCAGTAACACTTCTACAGCCTTTAGACATAAAAAGAGAAAAATAAAAAGAGTAATAATGTCAAGAATTGTAGGTTTCATTCCAGTCAGTGACGTTCATTGAGCTACTGATAGTCCAGTAGAAACACTACAACTCTCAGCCTTGGTACATTGATATTCCATGCCCTACAGTATCTTTTCTCAGTGGGGATTATTTTTAAGTAATAACCCTGAGTAAAGACACAATTCTGAGTTTAAAAAAATTTCTCTACTTTTCCAAGGAATCTTGTAGACCCAACTTCTGCCTGCCAACTTAAGAAAATCCTGTGGGAAAAGACTTACTGTCCTAATAATCTCTTCAGGGCTCAACTTTGGAATAAAACTCTTAAGCAACAGAGAAATTTAACAATGAAGGTCACAATTCTTAGTGGCATGTATTCTGCAAGGTTAGTGCTGACAAAAGCTCAGTTTGGAGAACTTATTGATGTTCCTTTGTCGAGACTTGCTAGACATGGAGTCAGAGTGCAGCAAATTATATTCTGGAAAATAGCAGTGCCAAGTGCTAACTGCTAAACTGAGAAAGCAGAGAGGTCTTGTCAACACCTAACACCTTCATTAGCTCACTACTTTCTTCACTACTGATAATAAGGCTTCCCTTCTATGTCCAGAAGAGTGTTCTCAAAAATAAAAATAAAAATTGGCTATAACCTCTGCAAATCCTGCAAGGGCATTTTTAAAAAAAGATGTTTTAGTGGTTATATAAATGTTTAGATGTTTAAGTGAAGGGAGGTTGCCCTCCACTAGTCATACATATAATGTGTTTTCACTGTGTGTCCAGAAACCTAAAAATTCTCCAAACTGAAATCTTATGAGATTCTGTTTTTCTTAAAGCTCAGCTCTAGTTTTTAAGCTCTATATTAATATGCCTATTTTAAAATGCAATATATATATATATATACACACACACAAATATGTTTATTTACTTATTCCTCCTTTGCATGAGGAGTATTTTTATTTCTAATACTCAATGTTTAAACAAAGAAAGCTCTCTAAAGAGAGAGTTTCTGTAATTGACTTAGATATAGGAAAATAAAAAATAGTCTACCTTTATTTTCCTACTACCCAATTCTTGGCTTAAGAAAATTGGCTGCTGTATTGGCTTCCCAGTAGTTCTCTGCATGGCCTCACCTCCCTACAGCTCTAAAATTAAATTCTCACCCTTAGAGTGGGATGATGCAGAAAGCCAGCTGAGGCTAGCCATGGGTCCCAAAGAATAAGGCAATAGAACCTAAAAAATAATGATACAGATCTTGTTGAAAAACATAGCAGCTAATGACCACTGAAGAAACATCCAGAAATAGGAATTTACTTCTATGCCCTTAGTCACACAAAATACAGCTTCAAGACAGTGTTTTCTATGCACCAGTCTTTTTACTTTCCTTCATGTCAATATTGACTTTTCTTAAGCTAAACTAAATTAGATTAACACCCAAGTTTCATTGTAATGTCAATTCATTCACTCAACAAATATTTACTGAGTGCCTACTCTGTGCCAAGCACTGTTCAGGTACTTAAAAAGCATCAGTCAACTAAGATTCCAGCTCTCAATATGTTTGCCCTCTGCTGGACTAGAGGGAGGCGCCGATGATAAACAATAAGCAGAACACGAACAAATAAGTACATCATATAGCATATTCAGGGTATGCCTGCATCTTGTAAGACCTTAAGTTTATACAATTTGGTGGGTCTTCTTTAACAAAAACAATGCAAAACTACTAATGCAAAACTAGTTATAAACTACTCAGAATAAGAAAACAACTTACACACATTAAAAAGCTGATACATAGCAAAAACATTAAAAATTCAGAAAAAGTCACAAAATATTTTCATTAACTATCCAAAGCACATTTACTTTTACTGCATTGTCTTTGATCGCTTCTTCATATAGTAGTTCTGTAACATTTTCTATAGAGAGAACAGGAAGATAATCTAGCCTTATCTCTAGCATGGTTAATCAAAAATAATTATTTTATTCTTGATTAGAAGTTTCTTTTGGCATTACAACTTTATTGGCCATTTCCATTAAAAGTTTAAGATTTCATGCCAAATTTTGGAAAACCTCAATCAGATTTTGTTAAAATATGAGCTGTAAAATGTGAAAAAATTTTCTAACGATTAATTGGCTCTGTTAATTTCACACCATGTTTCTCTTCCACCACCCACTCACATACATTTGGTGCCAGGCACTTAGTGTACCAATCAGAAGACAGTACACAATTGGGTCAACAGGCAGTAGCTGTCTTCCTGGAAGCTCTTTCAATACTAAAACAGCTAGCACTAACTGAATTTACAGAGAAGTGACAGCAAAACACTAATTAGATTCCTCTACACCCAAACTCAGTGTATCCCTAACTCAATTTCTCTTCAGTCATACCTCAGCAAAAATGTCTGCAGTCATTCAACATGACATGGTACAAGAGAAGGTATGAAAGAAAAGAAATTGAAGTGGAAAGAGACAACGGAGTTAACCCATTAAAGTTAAAATATATTATGTTTCCAAATTTTACAGGAATTATGCAGGGAAGGGGCCATGGAGCTTAGGTTTCATTAGCTCATGGTAAATGCACCCCGTGTAAGGGAAAAGGTGGTGTAAAGGAGAAAAAATACAGCAGGGCAGGAGATATAGGCCTGGGATCAACGAGTGTGATGGGTGTGCTAGTCATCACATGAAATGGGTGATCCAGATAAGCCTCAAAGAGAGACAACATTTGAGCAAAGATTTAGAGGTAAAAGAGTTAGCCCAACAGACAACTGGGAGAAGAGTACTGCATGCAGAGGGAGCTGCCAGAGCAATGAAGTAAGACAGGAACGTGTCCAGTATGTTCCAGGAACTGTAAGGAAGCTGGTGTGACTGGAACAGAGTGATGGGGAGAGAAAGTAAATAAGAAATCAGAGAGATAAGGGATAGAGAATGAATTGTTGCAGGGTTTGGAATAGTGTAGTAAAAGGATCTGACTTATTAACACATTTTTAAAGGATCATTATGGCTGCTGCCTTGAGAGTAGACTGTAGGAGGCAAAGGCAATCCGAAGCCAGGGTGACATTGGCTCAAACCAGAGTGTTAACAATTGACATGGTGAGAAATGGGCAGTTTCTGTTGTCCATTCAGAGTTATGCTATTTGCTATTTTGTTTATTAGCAGGACTGGGAAATAAACTTTGTAGGTAGGCTAATATTTCAGAAACATGTTTGCATTTATGGATGTAAATAAATCAATGTAAATATAACTGTTCATGTGGAGTATTTGTGAAGGCATCAAAATGTCAACAAAGTACTAAAAATATTTTAATTTTAGAGACAGTGACTTAAACTAGATAGGGAAACTTAAACTATATAAAGAAAGCTGACCTGAATGGGCAGTTAGGAGCCAGTGTGGTTCTTTGATGAGCTTGCCTGGAATCACTTGACATCTATCTAAGAACTTGTGCAAGGCCTAGCTCAGTACTATTATCTGGCCTTTAATGCTATAAGTCTGGTTAAGAACTAGCTGTGGGGGAACAGCAGGTTCCCAAACTCTCCATAACCACTGGCAGACCACCCAGGAAGCTCTTCTGTGCGTGAGCAGAAGGCCAAACACCTAAGCTTCAAAATGCCTCAGGATGCAATGCTGTCAAGAGGCAATAATAGAAAAATGACACTGCAGTGTGTTGCCAAACTTGGTTGGCCGTACATACTGTGACAGGATTTATTACTAGAGGTCTGGTGAAGAAAGGAATATAAAATAGCCACACAAAACTATCTGGCATATTTCAGGTGAACATAATTAAACACATAATTAATATATAAGGTTAACTTACACGTTGTCGTGGACTGGGGTTCCCTGAAACTGACTCTGAGACCAAGGTTTGCCTGCAGGAAGTTTACTGAGAACTCTCTCCAAGGCTGGTAAGGGAATAAGTGGAAAAAATGGACAGATGGGCAGATTGAGTTGAACTGTGATG